AAAGATACAGGGGCGCCTGGGTGGCTCAGTCAGTTAAACATCCGACTCTTGATTTTGGCTCAGGGTGCAGGGATCGAGTCCCACATTGGGCTCCCTGCTCCGCGGAGATCTGCTTCTCTCTCTCCCTTTGCCCCTCCCCCCGCTCGTGTGCTGCCCCCCACAAATAAAAACTTAAAAAAAAAAAAGATTCTCTCTCTCCCTCTGCCCCTCCCCTCCTCCCTTTCTCTCCCTCTCAAATAAATGTTTAAAAAAATAATAAATATAAAGATTCAGGTTAAAACATTTTTTAAAAAGGTTACACAAATGGAACAGCATGCACCATCCAAACGCTAATCATTAGACAGTTGGAGAGGCTGCAGTAATAACGGCCTACGGTTTTGCAATGCCTTTTGTCTGCTTTGGGTATCAGGTTTAATTCTGCATTCATGAAATATGCTAGGGAATACTCTCTTTTCCTCCATTTACAGAGTTTACATAAAACTGGTATTGCTTCTTCCTAAAACATTCAACAGGGTTCACAAGGGAAGCCAAGGATCTAAAATTTTCTTTGGTGACATTTCAAATTATGAACTCCATTTCCTTAAATAGGTATTTTCTATTTCTACTTGTTTTCTTTTTTTTTTTTTTTAAGATTTTATTTATTCATTCATGAGAGACAGAGAGAGAGAGGGGCAGAGGGAGAAGCAGGCTCCCCGCTGAGCCGGGAGCCCGATGTGGGACTCGATCCCAGGACCCTGGGATCATGACCTGAGCCAAAGGCAGACGCTCAACCATCTGAGCCACCCAGGCACCCTCTACTTGTTTTCATACTGACAATTTGCATTGCTGAAGGAAACTGACCACTTTACCAAAACTGACTAAATTATCGGCATAAAGTTATTCATAACATCACTGTGTTATTCTTTTAATGTCAAGTAGGACCTGTAGTAACACCACTCTTTTATTCTTAGATATTAGTAATGCTTGTCCTATTTTTTTTTTTTAAAAGATTTTATTTATTTACTTGAGAGAGAGAATGATAGAGAGAGAGCATGAGAGGGGGAAGGGTCAGAGGGAGAAGCAGACTCCCTGCCGAGCCGGGAGCCTGATGCAGGACTTGATCCCGGGACTCCAGGATCATGACCTGAGCCGAAGGCAGTCGCTTAACCGACTGAGCCACCCAGGCACCTGCTTGTCCTATTTTTTTTCTTCATCAGTGCAACTAAAGGTTTATCAATTTTACTGATGTTTTTGAGGAGCCAAATTTTGGCTTTATTTTTTTCTCTATTATTTGTGCATATTCTATTTCATTGATTTCCTCTTTTGTCTTGTAATTTCCTTCCTACTGCACACTTTGGGTTTAATTTGTTCTTCTTTTTCTAGCTTATTAGATCATTGGTTTTCACACCATTCCCCTTTTCTAGTATGAGCATCAAAGCTATGAATTTGCCTTCAAGCACTGCTCTAGCTGCACCCCACAGCTTCTCATGTTTCCATTTTCACTGAATTCAAGTATAATGCTTAATTTTCCAATTATTTTGAGATTTTTTTTAAAAAAAGATTTTATTTATGTGGGGGAGAGAATGAGCAGTGGGGAGGGGCAGAGAGAGAGAGGGAGAGAAGCAGACTCCCCAGTAAGCAGGAAGCCCGACGCAGGGCTCAATCCCAGGACCCGGAGACCACGACCTGAGCCGAAGGCAGATACTTGACTGAGCCAGCCAGGAGCCCCTATATTGGGATTTTTAAATATCTTTTTTTTTTTTTTTTAAAAGATCCAATTGGCTTTATTAAGTGATTCATGAATCAGGCAACATCCCATCTACCAGACAGAGGTGCACTCCCATCTCTTTGGTATTTATATATAATTTCTGTTGTGGTCAGAGAGCAGGCTTGTATGATTTCATTCCTTTTAAATTTATTGATATTTGTTTCATGGCCTA